AATTTTTGTGAATTAGCAAATATAATAATAATAATACTTAAGGTGATGAGTTAGTAATGTTTGACGTAACAGAGTGGTTGTCTACTAACTAATGATTATTTTCGTAAGATTTAATTCATTTATCTGTAAATTACAAATTAACAAGGTTTCTTATTAATATATCAATTCATACATTCCTGTTTTAAGTTCATGTTTGTATCCACGAACCAGCAAAAAAATGTAAGTTTTCTATTTGGTTTTTAGTATTTGGATTCCTAAACTAGAATTTATACTACTTTTATGTTTGATTTTAACCAACCTTGATTCGGATTAATCATTAGATTCTTTTGTTATTTAACTATGAATACTCTTCTACTATTTGTCATAATTTACTTAGGCTCATTATTTCCAGCTCCTATTGGAGAAATATGAGAGATGATGATTGATGGAGGTGCGGAATATATAACTTCACTTGGCTTCTAAGCTAAGTGTCCTTGAGGTGTTTTTATACATTGATCGACTTGTAAAGATGACATATCATTGTCTTCACTTTTCTCCTAAGGATTTTTGCTGTTACTTAGAAAGCAAAATTGATGTTTTTAACGTTTATTAAAATTAAACATTAAACTATAAAAATCTGCACCGAGGTGCATAAAATACAAATATAAGACACACGAGGCTGAATCATGTGAGATGAAATCGATTTATTATTCCTATATTTATTTCTTTGACACAAATGAAGAATGGAATTAGTTGAGAATTTGTTGGGCTTTCAAGCTCAAGTGGTTGGCTCTTAGTATTCTTCTTTGTCACACTCTTCACCAAACAAAGCACTAAGCAATATTTGTATAAATCCTACAATACTCAATATTGTATAAAAGCGTTCAAGACGTTTCGTTAGCAGAGATGTTATGGCAACTGAACCGGTGCAGGCTTAGCAGAACCGGCTCCAGAAAGGCTAATCCAAAACGTGTCAGATCGGGTGGACTAATCCGCGTCAACCATCTAGATACATAGACAAAGAAAACGACATGTTTGACGTTCGGCTCAGCTAAACCAGTTGAATCGGCATAAATTATACAAGATCAACAAAAAAGAACGAGATGGTTCGCGGATTTTTGGTCCATTGCAACATCTCTATACTCATCACTGTCTATCAGAATATGTCAGAAAGAAAAGAGGAGATCACCCACAATAGTATGCAAGAATAATTTCAACAAAACATTCGTCTAAAACATCAACACAGCGGTTAACATAGCTTCAAAATCGGCCTCAACAAATCGCAAAAACAATTTCCCAGTAAAGAGTAATCACTGGAAATGGGAAAGATTGCAGATTGCAATGGCTTAAGATTGTTTCCATCAAATGACCAAGATTCTTTTGTTTCTTAAAGGATCTATGACATGACAGGATGAAAAGGAGAGACACCTTTTCGATAAACCAAACAGTACTCAGGGGTACAATAATCTGTCGGCGTTTCCAGTTTGTTGAACGAGTCAAAGCAAGGTCCGGGATTTGTCTCCAGACCATAGATCAAAAGGATGCTGTAGCTGCTTAGAAGTTGACCTGAGAATATGAGGTTCGCTGACCATGACTAGACCCCCCAAATCTCTGAAATAGTGAACCAAAACAGCTCTGCAAGATATAGAGAAACAGTAAACCCGTTGAATTTAATTCTTAAGACCCTAATCCACCAGAATAGAATTTAGAAACACAGAACAATACCTGTGTTCTATGAGGTACAGTGGTCCAGAAATCCAAATTTGGGATTACCTATAAAAAATGGTGTGTACATTTCAGTATCAGTAGAATCAATACATGAGAACACTTTGCATATATGAAGGAAGTTAGTGAAACATACATCTGTGCCACGAATTCCAAGGGAGAAATAGCGATATAATGCACCACCGATCAGATAAGCTCCAAATAAGCATACAGTACTGAAAAGGATCAGAAAATTTTAATTCAAATTCCCACGACATCTAAACATATTCGAATAGCCTCGCATAAAAGAGAATGATGTGCTCACATGATTAGTAAGGTACTAAACCAGCCCCATCCACTCCCATGACCAGATATAGCTACTGCACAGCCGGAAGGATGTCGCAGCTCCGTAGCCTGCCAGTGAAAAACAATCCATAATTTATGTCGAATGAATGAGAAAAATAGAACAAATATCTTCAGTTTCATAATCAAACAACTCTAAATGTGAAAAGTTAAGTCAATGACTCGGCAAACAGAAAGCAAGGTTTTAACTACTCATGCTACCATTACTTTCTTCAATAATATTGTTTTGACTCCCAGGAATATATGTGGAGAACATTCCTACAAATTCTACAATTCACAGTTTCTGACAATGCAGACTAAGCTTCGATGCTAACTTACTAATGTCATCTGTCCATCCACCTCCAGTCGATATAACAATACCACAAAATCAGCAGTTCCATATCTAGCCAGAGTCCATACTTCTTAGAAAAATTTAAGATGCTAATATTTCCAGAACATAGAAGAATGAAATAATAGGTTTCTTAAGAACATGTTCTGATGAGACAAAAGTGGTTCCATTTGTTTCCAGTTCTAAATGCGGTACGAGGGAGAAAAAAGCTATCGCTTTTATCAGCGTTTACCCAATTAAAAAGCTAAAAAAATTCATGTTTCAAAACAGAAACAATTAGACTAAAGACAGTGATTTGAAAGCTAAACGCAGAAGAACAGATAGATGAGTTACTGAGAACTCACATAATGGCAGATATCAGATTTCACCAAAGTGAGTAGTCCCTGAGAAAAAAAAATGGTGAATGAGGTATTAAGTCCTAGAAACTGCTAAAATCAATTTCAATTTGTTGTCTCAAATAAATGTCTGATACACAAATCCTTACATCAACTTTATTTTTCTGGCAGATAACAGAAACTGAGAGTGAGCAATTTTGGCTCCTACTTCCACTTGACATCTTAACAATGACGCCTTTGCCAGGATCCTCTTTATCTACCGTATTTAAAACAAATAAAACTCTCAGACACCGTTTAGCTTCGTCCAAACTTAGAACGCACCTAGGGCCAAGTTCGTATAATTACAAGCCTAGAGAACAATAGTCTCTATTTTCATACAATACAAACATATCTTACGCCTTACCAAGCATATCAACTTTTGTGCTTGAAGCATGCCCTAGAGAACTGCATACATCATACCCTGCAAATGAAACATTTTTCAGATGCTGTAACTCTTTATCAGCTCACAGCACATAATAAAAGTTTCTTGAGGACACAATAAAATTGGCTAGAGTTTCTGAGAAAAAATCAAAAGCATCACGTTATATGCAATATCTACTACATCTATCAATTTTCTACTGAGCCTATAAAATAAATTAAGATTACATGCTGTCATGAGTGAGATTTTTGTACCTCTTACATTTTCCGACACAAGTGCACTACATGATGTTCCACAGTGTGATGGACCTCCACAATCCTAAGTGAAGAAAAGAAGATTTACAGAAACTGAGTGAGATTTTTAAAGCTAAAACAGAAACCTTTTCGTCTGTTGAAGAATAGATCAAAACAATGGAAGTGGCCAAAAATCTTACTTCACAACCAACACATCGAGGAGGATCGTGATTGAAAATCAACACGTCACAAAGCTGCTCCACAAGACAGTTTACAAGAAAAGCAACAATCATTAATCACACCGGTCTAGTGTAGAACATTAAGGACACTAAAACTACCAAGTAGTTGCAAATCTTCAAATTTGAACCACCTACTAAACTCTAAAGGCTTTGTATCATTCTTCTTTTACATTTCCATTAACCTATCTATTCATTTTCCTTGTAACCAGTATCACAAATAACATACAGTAAGATGTATTAAGCAGGCATGAAAAAAAAAAAACAAAGATACAGGATTTACACACACATAGTCATGATCAGTGTAACAGAGCAAAATACAGAAACAAAGTGTAACCTGATGTAGAAGACAACCTGAAACCATAGCACGGTGTTGTTCGCTTCCACTCTATAAAACCTGATTATCCAATTACGTGATGAATCTCAGTATAAGCACAATACAAAACGAAGTAACATAGAATGAGCAACGATCCAGTACAAACTACAACACCGAACTCAGTGGTCGAATGGTTTATCGAGTGAATCTGAGAAAAAACAAAAACAAGGGTAAAAGAGAAAGTACCCATCTTCGCTGAGAGCACCGTGAGGAAAATTCCGAATCGGAGAAGCTAAATTGAAATCAAAGACCTTGTTTCGTCGATTGAAACTGAATTCACACTGAGAGTTAACTCGTAAGCTGATAAACACGAGATTGATGAGAAGAAATCTCGGATTCCAAATCCAAAATCTCCTAGACATTTCTCTTTCCTCTTCGCTCTTCGATTATTGAGATTCTCTATTACGATCTCATAACCATGTCCGAGGATCTTCGACGGAGAAGAAGACGAAGAGATGAGTGATCGGCACGGTTGCAGTCGGGTCGATGCTCTTCGTTTTACATCCGCCGTTGATACAGCCGAGATTTCACTAATACCCCTAAACATTTGTACTTCTTACGAATACGCCGCATAACTTTGTATGTAACAATGAGGTCTCTCGATAATCGATGTGTATTTTGAAGACTGGATATTATTAACAATGGGCTTATAAATTCAAAACAACTCAACTTAGTAACAGCCCAGTCAAAACTGAACCAGACAAATTGGTTGGTTAGGAACTTAGGATGCCATACGGGGGTA